CAGTCTTCCACTCGTCCCCCTCCCTTATGCGAACCAGGTTGTATGCCCCTCTCAGATCTAGCTTAGTAAAAAGGGCTGCAGATTTTAAGCTTTGAAAAAGCTCTGGGACCAGGGGCAAGGGATAGCGATTCTTAATCGTGACCTTATTTAATTCGTGGTAATCAATACAGGGTCTTAGGGATTTATCTTTTTTCTCCACAAAGAAAATTCCCGCTCCTGCTGGTGAGGTGGAAGGGTGGATGAACCCTTTTTGGAGATTCTCATCAATATATTCCTTGAGAACCCCCAACTCTAATTCGGACAGAGGAAAAATTCGGCCGAAAGGAATCTCGGAACCGGGTAACAGATGGGACAATTGTATGGGCGGTGAGGAGGCAAGGCGTCTGCCCCGCGCTTGAAGACATCCAGATAGCCATGGTAGGCCACTGGAATGACTTGTCTTAAGCTGGGGTCCCCTTACGAACACAGGAGAATCTGGGGAGTTCTGGGGCCCAAAGCGTGACAGTGTTCCTGACAATATGTTGAGAGGAACCGTACTGACCCAGTCTCCCAGTCAATTTGGGGGTTGTGGGCCTGTAACCACGGAAGCCCCAAGATAACTGGAAAAAGGGGTGACGCGATGGCGTCAAAACGCAGGAGTTCCCGGTGTTGGCCCGCTATAGTGGTAGGAATAAGAGGGGTTTCCTGATCAACTAACCCCGATCTAATCCGGGAACCATCAGCTAGAAATAAATTAAGACCCTGTTTTCTGAGCTGTAGAGGGATCTCCTGCTGATGTGCGAAGTCTAGATCCACAAAGCAACTGCATGCCCCTGAGTCAATTATAGCCGTCACTTCCACGGTTCTTCCTGGGAGCTGGAAGAAGAGTGGTACAGCTAAGTAACTGGACTGGCTAACCTTCCCAATAGACAAAGAAGAAAATGAAGAAGTCGACTTACTTGCTTTCAGAGGACAGGACCGTACCATGTGACCGGCTTCTCCACAGTAGAGACAGAGGTTTTTGGATCGTCTTCGCGGGCGTTCCTTGGGAGACAGGGTATGCCGAGCCAGGCCCAGCTGCATGGGCTCCTGGGTGTCCACAGGAACAGGAGATCGGTTATCCTTTGTAGTGGGTTGGCCTGCCCCCCGGACAGGGGCCCAGGTAATCCCCTGACCCTGGCTAGACCTCTCAAACCTGCGTTCCCGCAACCTGCGATCAATTTGGATCACCAGGGAGATAAGATCCTCCAGGGACTCTGGTAGGCCCACTCGGGCCAGCTCGTCCTTTAGGGCTTCAGAGAGCCCAATACGGAATTGATGACGCAGAGTAGCATCATTCCAGCGTGTATCCCCCATCCACCATCTGAATTCGGAAGCATATTCTTCCGCCGCCCGGCGGCCCTGTCTAAGAGAGTATAGGGCCGAAGCTGCCCGCTGCGGATCGTCATAAAGTATGGTCATCGTTTCAAAAAAGTAGTTTACCGATTCTAAATGAGTGTCATGGTTTTCCATCAATCGATGGGCCCAGTCCTGGGGTTCGTCCTGTAGCAACGAAATTATGAACCCCACTTTAACCGACTCGGTGGTGAATGTATGGGGCTGCAAGTCAAAGTAGAGGAGACAGGAATTCCGGAAAGACCTAAAACGCGCACGGTCTCCCTGAAAACATTCCGGCAGGGGAACACGGGGTTCGGTCATAGGGAGTGCGGCAGCAGCTCCCATGGCAGGCCCAGGAGTTTCCCCGGACGGGGTGGTAGAGACCGGGGCCTGGGAGGTGGTGTCTGACACGGTTAATGTCTGGAAGCGGTTTTCCAGATGGGTGTATCTGTCTTGTAGTGCCGTGACAGCTTGGGTCAGGACTGCTAAGTGCCGGCATATGTCCTCTAGTGGGGAGGGTCCTCCTCCAGACTCAGTCATGGCCGAATGGTACTGTAAGGGACCACCTGACAGCACCTCTAGCAACCCACTGGTCAGGCTTCCCCGGAGCGCGGAGTCTAAGTTCCGGAGCACTTGTTCACCAGGGCCCCTGATGAGGGGGATGGACTTGGAGTGCTCTGAGACCAGGTCGCGACTACCGGGTATACCTACCAGTGGTAGAGGAGTCCGCCAAAGGCTCCCGCAGAGTAAGAGTCTGATGTGAGGGGACCGGGGAGTCCCAGTGAGATGGATGGATGGATGAGCTAAAGCTAGGTCAGACAAGCCGAGTCGGTAGCCGTGGAGTCGGTGTGGTACAAAGCAGCAGGCAAAGAATGGTCGGGTCACACGCCAGGTCAGTAACAGGAGATCAGATCTATATAGGGACATTCAGGAGCGAGGTCAGGCAAGCCAAGGGTCAGGACAGGAGAAGGCAGCAAAGGTCAGACAATCCGGGTCAATAGTACTCACAGTCACAGGTTTCAGGGAACAGGAATCACAGGAAGACCATTCGGCAACCAGTGACAGCACAGGGGGATTTAAATATCGCGCCCTGCGCTGTCATTGGTGCCAGGCGCGCACCCGCGAAAGCCAGTGCGCATGCGCGCGAACTCCGTCGCCGCGGCAGGCCGAGACCTAGCGCCCTCATTTCTGCATGAGAAGGCCTAATGCGCATGCGCTGGGACCAGTGCCACGGCGATCCCTGACAGGCAGTCTGTGCCTCAGGTGTCCATCGGAAACGCACCCCCACCTTAGTGAGCTGAGTGATGGGAGTTACCAGGCCCGAGAAATTTTTAATACATTTGTTTGTAAAAATTGGCGAAGCCAATAAATCGCTGGACCCCCTTTTTATCCGTGGGGACTGGCCATTCTAAAACTGCAGATATTTTTTGGGGATCCATCACAACTCCATCGATTGAAATGATCAACCCCAAAAAGGGAATGCTGCTCTGCTCAAAGCTGCATTTTTCAGCTTTAGCATACAGCCCATGCTTGCGCAGCCTCTCCAGTACACTACTGACGTGATCTCTATGTGTCTCCAGGGATGAGGAAAAAATCAGGATGTCATCCAGATACACAATCACATAGATGTCCAGGATGTCCCTAAAAATGTCATTCACAAAGTGTTGGAATGTAGCCGGTGCATTACAGAGACCAAATGGCATAAGGAGGTACTCAAAGTGCCCAAAGCGAGTGCGGAAGGCGGTCTTCCACTCATCCCCCTCCCGAATGCGCACCAGATTATAGGCTCCCCTGAGGTCTAGTTTGGTAAAGATGGAGGCCGTCTTTAGCCTCTGAAATAATTCAGGGACTAAGGGAAGGGGGTACCAGTTCTTCACGGTGATCTTATTCAGGTCCCTATAGTCTACGCAGGGCCTCAGGGACTGGTCCTTCTTCTCTATGAAAAAGATTCCCGCCCCGGCTGGTGAAGTGGAGGGGCGAATAAATTCCTTCCGCAGGCTGTCATCAATGTATTCTTTTAGGGAGCCCAACTCTCGCTCAGACAGCGGGAAGATTCGGCCGAAGGGAATTTCGGATCCTGGGAGCAGGTCAATAGGGCAGTCATAGGCCCGGTGCAGAGGGAGAATCTCTGCACCTCGCGGGCTGAACACGTCAAGGAAATGATGGTTTGCGGAGGGCACAGTTTGTGCTAGATCCGTATCTGTATTCACACACAACAAGGTTGGGGGCCCTGGTGAAGACTTTAGGAGACAGTGCTCCTGGCAGTATAGTGAGTGAAATTGAACAGATCCAGTCTTCCAGTTAATTTGGGGATCATGAGCCCGTAACCACGGGAGCCCCAAAATCACTGGAAATAGAGGGGACGCAATAGCGTCCAAGCAGAGGAGTTCCTGGTGATGGCCTGCTACTATGGTGTACAAAGGAGGGGTCTCTCGATCTACCAACTCTGATTTAATTTGTGAACCATCAGCCAGAAAAATATTCAACCCTCGTTCTTTGGACAATAACGGAATTCGTTACTGAGCTGCAAAGTTAAGGTCCACAAAGCAACTGCAGGCCCCAGAATCAATAATAGCCATTACCTGCACAGTTCTTCCTGGGAGCTGGAACAAGATGGGCACGACTACATGAGTAGGGTCATCTACACAGGTTGGAGACATAGAAAAAAATGGTAGAGTACTTACAGAGCTTCTCAGGACAGGAATGCACCATGTGACCCGCTGCTCCACAGTATAGGCATAGATTATTCACTCTGTGTCTGTGGCGTTCCTCAGCCATGAGAGATGGCCTCATTAACCCAAGTTGCATAGGCTCTGTTCCGTCCGCAGGTTCAGGACTCCGATTGCTGACTGTAGGATGTGATGGGATTGGGACCCGTGGTAACATCCATGTAAGCCTTGACCCTTGACCAGACCTTTCCTGCTTTCGTTCCCGTAACCTACGGTCAATCTGAATTGCCAGGGTGAATAATTTCTCCAAAGAATCAGGCACACCTACCCTGGCCAATTCATCCTTTAGGGGCTCGGATAATCCTAGGCGGAACTGATGGAGCAGTGCTGCATCATTCCATTGTGTATCTCCAGACCAACGCCTGAATTCCGAGGCATAATCCTCTGCTGCCCGGCGTCCCTGCTGCAGAGAATGTAGGGCTGCTTTGGCCGAAGCAGCTCGCTGAGGATCGTCATATAATTGTGACATCGCCTTGAAAAATTCTGCCACAGAGTTCACATGCGGATGGCAAGCCTCCAATAGACCTGCAGCAAGGATATCACGAATCCCACCTTCACAGATTCGGATACAAATGTTCGAGGTTGGAGGTCGAAGTAGAGCTGGCAGGAATTCAGGAAGGCCCGAAACTTCCCTCGATCTCCATGGAACCGCTCAGGCATTGGGACTCGAGGCTCCGGCGGGGGGAATGGAGAACACTGCTCCAGCGGAGGGTCCCACGGGGCTACTGGTAGGAGGTGAACCGACTGGGTCTGATGCTGTAACAGTAGGAGCGGCTAGGGCCTGGACGCGTCCCTCCAAGTGTTTATAACCCTTGTCCAGCATCTTGACAGCTTGGGTAAGCGCGGACAGATGGTGGCACATCTCTTCCCAGGGAGAGGGTTCTCCTCCAGACTCTGCCACGACCGTATGGCTCTGTTAGGAACCAGCCGGTGGTAGCCTCTAGCGTTCCACAGACCAGAATTCCCCAGGGCGCGGAATCTAAGTTCCGACCTGCTTGTTCACCAGAGCCCCTGATGGTGGGGATGGACTTGGAGCAAGCCGAGACCAGGTCGCAGCCCCTGGGTGCAACCAGCTGTGGTAGAGGCACCTGTCAGTGGTACGCAGCAGGTGAGAGTCTGATGTGAGGAGGTAGAGTAAGCGAGGTCAGGCAGGCGGGTCGGTAACAGCGGAGCAGGTCGGTACAAAACGGCAGGCAGAAGAATAAACGGGTCACAGTCCGGGTTTGGCAACAGGAGATCAAGAGTGCAGGAGCAGGCAGGAGAATGGCTCAGGCAAGCCAGGGGTCAGAGCAGGAGAAGTCAGCAGATCAGGATCAGGCAGGGTCAGTAGCAAAGTAAACTCACAGGAACAGAGGAAACACCATATGGCACTTGAGCATTGCAAGAGCTGGGTTTAAATACCCTGCCCGACTCCTGACAGGCGCTCCTGGGTCCTAGTGCTTGCCCAGCGCCGTCACTGGTGACAGGCGCGCCTCTCTTTGTGATAGGTATCGCCCAATTTCTTTACTCTTTACTCAATTTGGACGTTAAACTTTTTGCTAAACTTTTGGCGAACCACTTCTCCCCTTTTCTACCAACCCTGATCCACCATGATCAGGTTGGTTTTATGCCTGGTCGTGAAGCTAGAGTTAATACTTCTAAAACAATCCATCTTATCTCTTAAATTAAGCAACATGGTTCAAAGGCTTGCCTCCTTTCATTTGACACTGAGAAGGCGCTCGACCGCGTTGATTGGCGCTTTCTACGACTCACCCTGGAACAGATCGGTTTTGGTTCACAGTTCCTCGCTCGGATTATGTCCCTCTATTCTCGGCATCTGTCCTAGTGAATGGTACGGTCTCTTTGCCCTTCACCATATCGAATGGGACTAGACAGGGTTTCCCCCTCTTGCCTCTTCTCTTTGTTTTAGTAATGGAACATCTAGCAAGAGCCATACGAGCCAATGACTCAATTTTGGGCATCCGCACGACCCTCCGCACATCATAAATTATCCTTATACGCAGATGACCTTCTAGTTTACATCCAACAGCCACTTATTTTACTCCCCAGTCTCCTCCACGAATTCCGCAGATTTGGTTTATATAGTAACTTCAAACTCAATATCTCTAAAACGGAGGCCTTAAATATATCTTTGCCTGCCCATGTGTTGGTGGACTTGTGCTCTAAGTTCGCTTTTCAATGGTCTCCAAAGGCTATTACGTACCTGGGGATCATGATTTCTGCTGCTCTTACTGCTCTATATTCCCTTGCTTTCATGTATCCGAAAGGATCTGGGTTCATAGGGCACTTCTGCTATGCCCTGGTTCGGTCGCATCAACACCCTCAAGATGGATACCTTACCCAAGTTACTCTACGTTTTTTAGACTGTGCCGATTGTTGTCCCTCAGAGTTTCTTCCTCTCTCTACGCTCCCTTTCAATTAGATTTATTTGGCATCGGGGGTTCTCAAGGTTAAAATATAGGTTACTTACTTACCCAAAACTGGAGGTGGAGTGGGTTTACCAGACTTTGAGCTTTATTAAAGAGCTACGTTACTAGCCCGGGTGCTTGATTGGTTTCCCAGACCCTTTCGTAGAGCCTCTCGTATGATAAAACAAGATTTGGCTCAAGTTGATCTTCAGGCTTTACCTTGGGGTTATAGCCGGGACCTTAAGCATTTTCCCTGCCTGTCCCCATTGACTGTGGCTGTACTGCGCTTATGGTATCAACGGGGCATCATTGCTTTATTATCTTCTGATCCCTCTCCCCTATCATCCCAATTTGATAACCCCGCTCTTCCTCAGGAGCTAGGCTCTTCTATTCTTGGTCCCTTTACACGTGCCTCCTGGCCCATGGCCCTAACTTTTATTTGCCCCCAATCAGGTCTCCTGCTCCTTCAAGTTGGGCCTAAGGATTGGTTGACCACTTTACATCTATCCTCATTTTGCAAACATTTATACTCCTCCTCCTATACGCACCGTCCACTCACTGAGTTTGAGTGGTTGTGCTCCCTCTCTGAACCGCCGAGACATGTCCTAGCTTCCCTCTATAAAGTGTTACATACTGCTCTTCATTCCGAACTCCCTCCCTACACCAAGGCGTGGGCTCGGGACATAGGTAAAGACATATCAGCTGCGGACTAGTCCACGTCATTCCACTTCACTCATATTGCTTTTCCCAAGAAAAGAACTTTAAGCTCCTTTCTCGATTTACCGGGACCCCCTCTCCCTACACAAAATATTTTGTTCTACAACTAATCTTTGATGGCGCTGTACTAAAGTTGTTGGTACACAGCTCCATATTTGGTCGGATTGTGACCTAATACAACCCTTCTGGCGGCAGGTTTTTGTTGTTTACGACAAGATCTATGGTGAGTCCTTGGTCCCTTCAACGGAGATTGCTCTTCTCTCTATATTACCGGGCTCGATGGCTGCACAGAAGAAAAGTTTGTTACGTTTCTTTCTATCCGCAGCCCAACAATTGATACCCATCTTTTGGAAAACGACCACTCCCCCGCCTTTTTCGATGTGGGTTTCTGTTCTTAATGATACCTTGCCTATGGAGGAGATGCTTGCATTTGCCAATGATACCTATGATAAACATAAGTTACTGTGGTCAGTCTGGCTTAATTTCTCCTCCTTTTCAACTCTCCAAGATATGTGTTCCCCTGCCGTGTCCTAGAGGAGTTGAGCCTCGCTCTGATGCATTCTCGTTTTGGCGTGTTCGTCAGTTTGGCCCTGGGTGCGGGTGCGGGGTCACTCTGGCAGGATGCTGGTGTGGGGCCACCTTGGCTCTGCTTTCTGCCGCATCTGTCCCCCGACCCTCCTTCTTCTTCTCCCTCAATATCCCTACAATTGACTTCCCCTATTTCTTTTTTCTCTTCCCTGTAGACTCTTTTTCTTCTTTTTTTTTTTTTTTTTCTTTTTCTGTTTGGGTTTATATTTTTGGTTTCACAGAGTTTCTACATTTTGTTCCGTATATTTTGTCTGGGGATGCACCCCGTGAACTTATGTTCTTTTTTGTTTCTCTCTATATTTCCGCAATATGTGTTATTGAAACACCTCCATTTTGTTGTTATTTAGATTTATTTTCTTTTCAAATCTTTTTTTATTAGGATTTTGTATAAAAGTACAAAAATACAAGGTTCAGGTTAGAAATTGGGTACACACATCTCTTGCTCAACATTACATCTTAAATACAGTCTTAAGATTGCTATAGCAGACAGAAAACGGCCCAAGGGCCATGAACAAAATATACATCTACTATAAGTTGCAATAGATGGAGGTTACATGTCCAATCCAAATGATTACACATATAGCATACTGTACTTGCATAGTATTTTACTAATATTAGTCATAGTAAACCTGGATGTACGGGACCATCTGAACCAGACCTCTTGAGAAGATTACATATAACAAACGAGGAGGAAAAGAGAAGAACCAAACAAATAAGATACCAGTAGGTAAGGAAAATAAGAAGAAAGTGGAAACCAAAGCAACCCTAAGGGGAAGGAGCAAACAGAGCTCACATAATATTATTTGGGACCGTCTCTCACTCAACTCTAAACATTACAGTTGTTTGACGAAAATATCTCGATCCATCGGGACCACTTCATTTCAAATTTCCCCATAGACTGAAGGTTAACTGCTAAGCCCCTCTCACATACATAATGTGTCTGTACTCTGTGAGTCACTTCTAAAATAGAAGGAATATTTGTTGTTTTCCATTTATTGGTAATAGCCAGTCTAGCGGCAGTAAGGATATGACCTATTATGGTTATATATTTGCCTGGGAAAAGATTCAAAGTGATATTAAGTAAGGCTAAACTGGGAGTCGGAGTGGATGATGTGCCCGACACTGATGAAATAAGAGCTAAGACCTCTTTCCAAAACAACTGTAGGCGAGGACACTTCCACATAATATGGAGAACGTTCCCTTCGCCACCACAGTTCCTCCAGCAGAATGAAGAAACATTGGGGTATTTTAGATAGTTTGTATGGGGTAAGGTAGCTTTGATGCAGTATTTCAGGGAAAATTCCCAGTGATTGGTACATTTAGTGATGCTAAAATTACTACCCATGGCATTCTTCCATTCATCTCGTGTGAAGGATCTTTGAAGATCCCTTTCCCACTTTCCCACACAATTTAGCGTGGATAGGTCATTGTCGTAATGTAGAAATTTATAGAACCAGGAGATTCCCTTTTTCAGTTTAATGGGATTAGTAATAGTATGCCATAGCTTAGAGTTTCCAGCCATGTCCTCATGCCAGTACCAAGATATCCCTTAATCTGCCGAAAAGGGTGTAATCCTTTATTCGGAACAGAATTTCCTATATCGGCAAAAGAGTTGTAACCAAGGTCCCTTAGGAGTTTAGTATTAAGATTTGGAATAAAGTATTCGTATGCCGAGAGTGGGATATTGACTTGAAGTTTGGGGAATGAGTCAGATGATTTATTTATACCTATATTCCAGGCTTCCAATGTTGCAGTGATAGACGGTAATGAAGTAATTAAAATCTTAGAAGTAACCGATCTAGCCAAAAGAAGTGCCCATAGGTCTTTATTAGGGACCACATTCTGTTCTATTTGTACTCATAATTTGTCTGAAGGGGCAAACCGTGCCGTGCTGGAAGTTGGTCTAGAATTGTTGCATAATAATACATAGAGATTTCTGGGAGGCCTATTTCTCCTTTGGATTTATGTTTGGTGAGTGACATAAACGGAATACGCGGTTTCTTCCCTTTCCAAATGAATCTCTTTATAGCCACCTCTAGTTTATGGAAATAGTTCCAAGGGATAAGAATTGGGATTGTTCTAAAGTAATAAAATATTTTGGGAAAGATCAACATCTTGAATGCTGCTATTCTACCAACCCACGAAATTTCAAATTTATCTATTCTTTGCATTTCCAATATAGTGGACTGGTACAATTTTTCTAAGTTATTTTTAAAGGTTTGTGAGGATGGAGCTGAAATACAAATACCCAGATAGTCCGATCTCTTATTGGTCCAATGATAGGGAAATTTGTCCTTAAGGGAACTCAGAGGACTTTTTCGTATAGCAATTGGGAGGGCACAAGATTTTGTACTGTTAAGTTTGTAATAAGATACTTCGCTAAAAGACTGCAGGGAAGTTGAGATTGCTGTGAGGGAGTTCACTGGGTCAGTGACAGTTAAGATGACATCGTCCGCAAATAGACCAATTTTATGAGAAGCGGATGCTACCTGGATGCCCGAGATTCGTGGATTATTTCTAATCTCAGTCGCTAGATGTTCCATCACTAATGAGAAGATGATAAGGGATAGAGGGCAACCCTGTCTTGTACCATTAGTGATATTAAAGGGA